GACGTTTTGCAACTTGGACGCGGAGATGTTTCATTTTTTAAACAGTAAACGGCGGTCAGTGATAGAGGATTAAATGGGCGACGATCGCAACAGATTATTACAATTCACTTACAAGCAAGCCAGCTGTACTGGATCAAAATTTGAGCGGCATTTACCTCACAGCGGTTAAGGATTTCTTGTTTATCTATACGTTTGACTGGTTTGGGATTTTCACTACGGAGTTAAGTTCGGTTTTACAAATCAAATATTTTAGACTGAACTGCTAAAAATGTTACAGAAGATCTACAACAGTTCACAAATATTAAGAATTGAAACATACGCTCAGCATAAAGCATTGACAAAGAAGCCTAAGAAATCTTAAGAGTGATAATACCATTTAGTAGGTTATAATCGTAAGATTCTTAGCTGGCAAAATACTCGGTGTTTTTATGCCCTCCTTAGCACGTTGACGACGCCAAAATAAATTTTGATGAATATTTGCTTTATTTCTTTTCATATAATAATTCCATATTCAATGTAGATACTACTAGAATGATAGCGAAAACAGACTTTTCAGTGATGCCGGCAAAAAATCAAAACTAAATAATCGTATCGTCATTCTCTTTTTTGAAAAAATGTCTATCTACTTATTTTGCACTACTTACCTTTCACTTTTAGTTCACACTAAGAGAAAAAGGAAAATAAACACTGAAGACTGAAGTGCCTATCCTGGTGCAACGTGATTATTTTCAATACATATTTATATACAAACGCAAGAAAATCATTTTAATTCGCAAAAAAATATGATCTAAATAAATTATTTGTTTAAATGCTTAGACGAGACTTAAATACAAAGATAAACTGAAATTTTTTAATATTCTTTACCCTCTACATGCAATAACCGAAAAGTTGCTACGCGTAGTTATGAATAAGGTTTTATCGCGCTTTATCACTTGAATTTTTCATGCCGAAGTACTAATAATATATCTATACATTGCCGGTCATCTTCACAAAAAAAAAAAAAAAAAAAGAAAAACAAGTAAGAAAATTATACTCGGTCGTGACCGAATCTTTTACATCCATCACCGCTGTCGTGAGAAACACTAAAAAAATGTGGTTCATACCCCCATAATATTGGGTGGGCGCGGCTGATTGTTTTTATTTTCGGTGAAAATTTGTGAAAATTTGTGTACGATGTACGTGCTGTACTTTTCGAGTAACAAGCGAAAAACACTGAAAGCAAAGATTTCGATAGTATTTTTTATATGGAGGTTTGGGCGTTGTAGGCGTGTGATATCTTCATATTTGCGAACGGGAGAATGTTAACTACAGACTACTACTACACAGCTGATGAACATATCAACAGATGGACATGCTTAAGTGCATTCCGAATTTGCAACTGACAAAGAATTTATATACTTTATGAGGGCATTCAAGCTTTCTTCTACATTTTTGTCAAGGTACTACAGCATTGCCCGTAAAATGTACGCCAAAATTTTTGTAGATTTATCTGCGGTACTTCATGAGCAATGAGCATAAAATCAATTTTTTATTCTTTTTGAATAGCAGACGTGTCCTCTCTTTACGTGACTCTGTATTCGTGCGTTGCAGACAAAACTTATAATATTTCTGCCAAATTTAAAGTCGATAGATTCATTTTTGCCACCAGCATAATGCTCACAACAGACGTTACACAGACGGACGGACGGACGGGCATGCTTAAATCGATTGAGAATTTGATGTTGGTCAAGAATATAAATACTTTGTAGGGCCTCTGAAGCTTTCCTCTAAGCGTAGTGAAGCTTTTGACAAACTTGACAAACAAACCTCTTCAATGATTGATATAACACGTCTCAATTCTCCTGAATGTAGTTATATAAGTAGAGTACATCGGGAATAAAATTAAAAAATTTATTAAAAAAAAAAAAAAAAAACGTTTTTACAAAGCTATCCACAACTTTTCTAATCATTTTGCCCGAATATGGAGTCTATTCGGAAACGATTGACCATTTGATTAACCTAAAGTTTAATCTTTTGGTATTGTCAAAAGGATGGAAAGTCTGCTCGGGCAGGCAATGTGTTGCTGATTGAAGCCAGTGCAAATCGCAAGAAATAATATCTATTGAACGCATTGGGTATAGTAACATCATTTCATTTCAGTGATTTTGTGGCACGCTTTTATGCTTTATACAAATAGTTGTAACATCCTTAACTGTGGTCTATTTTATGTTATTATTATATAATATATATAAATGCTCCAAAATAAAATGCTTTAATGACAATCGTATGTTTTTTCCTACAATTCTTTCTCTAATGGTTTTTCGAAAAAAAAAAAACAAAATTAAAAATCGATACCTTTTTCTCTAAAATCAACTGATGGACACTCGTATATGATGGATTTGTTTTTCTGCGTGAATAATTGCAATCTGCACAGTAACAGTGGTCAAGGAAACAACTTTCCCATTTTGTGTATATAAATTTAAAAAAAAAAAAAACTCTTATTTACTTCATGTTTTCTACATATTTATCTTTTATTTATTTATTTTTTTTTTTTTTATATTTAGCCAGCCGTTGCGGGTATAGCTTGGATATATTTCAACACATTGGTGCTGGTAGAGCATGAAGGAAAACCACGAATGTTATTAGGAGTTTTGGTTCATAAGTTTGCAACAATGACTATTTTTATAGTAAAAATAATATATCTATGAAAATTGAATCAAGGTTATATTGAAATACAATATTTGAAAACTTTTCCCCTCAAAAGAAAACGATTTGTCGCAGATCAGGTAGTAATTTCAGCTTTCTGCAGATCTTTCGGCTCGATACCAAGCAGCAATTCAATCTTACTGGGAAAAAAGGGAAGGCGTCTTACTCTAAACAATAAATGATTATGAACAAAGGTAAATGACATATGCATTGCCGATCCTCCAAGGAGATTAGAAAGAACTTGAAAAGGCTTACAGAAGAACCAACTGAAGAATAAATTAATTTATACTCCCCATTGGAAAAAGAGACTTTTCATGTTAGGTTAAGTTTTCTTGTTTTTACAATAATAGTAAGTAAGTGTCATAGTTTCCAAATTAAATTGCTCACTAAAAGATTCTTGTTCGTCCGTCCATTGACCTACTCATCATTTCATAATTCATCATAAAAAATTGAATAAAAAGCTAAAACTGAGACAGTCACTTAATAGTTAAATGAGTTCGTAAAATGTGTCACAAAGTATAACGGCCATCATTAACGTGAAGATTGCTACAAGCATATCGGGGTTTTATGCAAACGTGACCATAATCAGCTCGGCACGAATGCAGCTGCTATAAGCAAGCAGTTGTCAGTTATCATTTCTGCTCTACGAATTTTTTTGATTAGCCTGCATTTAAAGTATGCTCGAGCAAGTTACCAAAAAATAGAGCATGCATACATATAAACAGGCTACATGTATGCTGACAATGTTAAAATCATTGTCGCGGCACAATTGTGTCTTTATAAACACAAGCTGTTGCACATATTTTCTTCAATGTATGGTATTTGTATGTATGTTAATAAGCTCTGTCTCTTTTAGAAATTTGTGAATGAAATTGTTTCGGCTTTGGATGTTTCATATTTTCAAGACAAAGTATGTTTAAAGCCAAGCAATTGCGTATGCGTGTGTGTCTGAAATTATCACCAAAAAATGGTTGTTTGAATTGACTTTTCCTCGAAACTTACTCTACTACTACTACTACTACTAATGCTAGTCTTTGTTGTGTAGAAAATTTCCACTATCAAGACCAATTTTCGGGATTTGTGAATTTTAGAAAGAGACATACATAGAAATCTAATTTAAATCAGAATCTCTCATGTTTGGTGAGAATTTATTTATGATTTGTGTTGGTTGCTAACGCACATCTTTGAATGCTGCGAACGAAGTGACAAATTTAGTTTACGATTTTCCTTTGATAGCGTGGAAAAGATCAACTAAATACTGAACACAGTTTGAGTCTTGGATTCAAATTAATTGCACGGTTTGCACGTCAAGGCACACATATGAGTGACAATGCCTACATTTCCATATTATTAAAATGTCAAATGGAACTGAAGTGAAATGAAAAGCACCGACCGATCCCCAATCCTCAATGTTAATATATTTAAAACAAGCCTGCCTTACTTGCCTGTGCATCTATCGCTGCTCATTAACCCGCTTATGCACTACTAAAGTTTATTGGTATTTATGTGCATTCTGTATATGTATTTTTTTGTATACACGTTTTCGTTTTTATCGTGCTACCCTTAAAGACCAAAAAGCAAATTGCGTTGTCGCCGCAATCAGCGCAATCAACCATAAAAACCACTTTGCAGCATCTCTTGTGTCGTCGTTATTTGGCTTGATGACCATACATACATAGATACACATAGACTCAGCCAAACATATATAGCATATGAAATAAAAAAAAAAAGACTTTTACTATAGAGATGGAGTTTAAGTGTGTAAATGTATTTAGTTATATACGTTTTACAAAACAACGTTCAAACGATATTATAGCGAGTGATATGAAAGGCAAGCAAGCAAGCAAGCAAGCAAGCGAGCGAGCAAGCATACATATCCGCATGTCTCTACTTCCACAAACCGCATAAAAGCTTTAGCATGTTGTCTACCACCATATAAGCACGCAGGTATACAAATAAACAAAACCCACACACCTACACCACCAAACGCCAATGCCATCATTTTCATGAACAACTAAAGTCTTCTACTTATGTGTATATGTTTTTCCTAAATGTTCGTGCAATCCAACAAAGCCTAAAGTTGACAAACAAACAAACAAGCAAACAGACAAACAATGTGCATGCTTGCACGTACGCATAACGCAATTAATTATTTACACTATACCTGCTCGTTACAATATCGTTAATTTTTCCTTTTTTTTTGTTTTCATTTTCGTTTTAATTTAAATTTAAATTCTGTAATATATGTTACAATGTAATGAATGATTCGGGTAAATTTTTTCATTAATTACCACAATTTTGTGGATTTAACTCACCTGGAAATTTATACAACTCGACTTCGTTGCAATTAATCTCAATCAGTGTTGACGTTTCGTTGGGTAGTCCGGCACATTGGCACATGCTATTCAACGGGCACGCATATAATATATCCTGTTGTTGAGCATGGAGGAGGGCCGCGAAACTACCACCTCTGCTATTGCTCGCACCAGCTATAATAGGCGATGGACCACGAGCCGCTATTACACCTGATGGACTACGGGCCGGACGTGTAAGGATCAATGGTGCGGTACCAGGACCTAAGGCACCAGGACCACCACTATCAAATTTCCAACAATCGGCAGTGTTACGAAACCAATATAATAACGATATCGATATGATCAGCAATTGTGGACGTTGTTGTTCCATTCTATCACAGAAAGTAAAAGAACAATGCAAATATTTGCTTAATTAATATGCAAACAAAAATATGCTCACTTTAAGGCATTATCAATAACATAAATATTATCACATATGTGAAGGGGCGAGAGAACATTTTAACAATGAAATTTTTTCCAAAAATATTGTTTATTCGGCAATTAAAAATCCATTTTCACCATTTTTTTGTCATATGATACAAGTTTTCCCAGAATTTCGAACTTAAATATTGCCATGATAGTCAGTAAAAATTTTCTGTATACACACACACACACACACACACATACACATTTATATGCGAACAATTTTTCGATTAAATTCTCTTTCCTTTTTCCTAACTTTTTTGTTTTTCTTCTTCTTTTTCCTCTTCAATTTTCAATGCTTTCTGCAATGCTTTTTCAAATAATTTAACACAATTTGAATTAAACTACATGCAGTATTCAGTAAATTTGAGCATTACAAGGAATTTCATAAATCAATTTACCACATATACATATACACATGTACGTATACATACAGGTACAGAAAAGATATGAAAACTTGCGGTGATAGCATGAGAAGACAACAAACATTGCAACTGCATTTTCTCTCGCTATCAAAACATAATACATTATGAGAGGTTAACAGCAAAGCAAACACGTATAAAAATATAAATGCCTGCATCCAAACCGAAAATCATGTTGTTTGTAATGCTGCGCAGATGTAACATCCATTTGGTTCGTTAATGTTTTCTTTCTTTCTTTCTTTTATTTTTTCTGGCATTTTCTTTTAAACCTTTTTTTTTCTGTCTACCACTTATATGCATATATTCATATAAATATATATATATATATATATGTTTGTAATTTTTGGTAAGTTTTGCATGCACAATATACGTGAGCGTGTTTGTGTCGCTGTTTATTTAACAGGTTGCATACGTGTGCATGTTATAAAACGATTACAATAAAATGAAAAATTCTTATAAAGTTACTGCTGCTGTCGAAGTAAAATTTCGCAATTTATTCCAACAATTCCTTTTTCATCTCAATAGTTCGCGCTTTTCACCACCTTCTCGTTTATCGCATTCACTTGCTACACGAAAGTGTTATTTCATTTGTTTACCTTACCGCTTGCATATGTGTTAAAAGTTTTTTTTTCATAACTAAAAAATTTTTATTATAATTTTTATCGTTTACTCTCTGTAGGTATGTTTTACATAAAACCGTATGTTTTTTTTTTTTATATTCATATGTATGTAATTCTTGCTTCATCTTGTTTTTTTTTGTTTTTTTCGTCTTTACTACTCTTCTTGACTGAAATAAAACGGTTTTAAAATAATTTGCAATTTTCAGTGACATAAATGCAAAAATTTTCATGTTCCAGCGACATAAAGGTAGAAAAAGAAAAGAGAAAGAGTACCCTCGAGAAGAATTACAAAAATTTTGATATATTAAAAAATGAAAAAAATCTAATTGCATTTTAGATTAAACGAGCTATCGGGTTTATTACAGTAATTTTATCAATTTGTGTGTAGGAAATAGAATACCAGAGACGAAATGTAGTGCTTCTGCTCGATCTGGCGCGAGATTTAGAGTTTTGCTCTGTCATTTCTTTTCAAAAATATTGAAACTATAAAATTTAAGCTAGAAACCTCAAATTCTTCGAGAGCGAATCTGATTCGAAAAACCGGACTTTCGGGTGATCGGGAAAAGCGAGCAAACTGTAAAAGCTCTTATAAAAGAGGAATTCGGAAGTCTTAGTAGCCATACAATATAACGTCCAATAAATACATTTGTCAAATTTTGATTTCTTTTTCGTTGATGTTTGGTTTTTAAGCCGAAAGACCGCAAGTAGGCTTCGCCTTTTGGTCTATACGTGCAGACTTTCACTTCCTGTTTAATCATTCTCAGAATATAAACATATTGGCAAACCATATAGTGCAATGGCTAGACTTCGCGACTGGCAAGTCGGTAATTGCTGGTTCGAATCTCACTACGGTACGTACTACTTTATAACGAACGATCTAACTAACCTAGTTACATAGACTCATGCCTCATGACATTCTTTCATATATGAAGTCATAGTTTTAACACTTAGACTTAACTTCACTTTGCTAATACTTTAAGCTGAAAAATATTCTCATCAAAACTATGTTTATTTTGAAACTGAAAATTGTTAGGTTTGCTATGCTTTAATAATCTCTATAAGTGTGTTATTCAGTCTTAAGAGTGTTGCTTAATAAGGCTGTGAATATGTAAAATTGTAACCAGAGATGAATAAATAAATATATGAAAATGCTAATCACAACTCAATGGCAATACGGCCAACGGAATTAAATAATCAGTTATTGTGCCTCAGTTGTTGTGTTTAAGTCAAACTGTAAATCAGAAACAAAATGCCTTCCACTTTGTACGATTTTCTTTTCCTTGTTATTATTATTATTATTATTATTTTTATTAATTTTGCCAGAGAAATAAAATCTAAGACAAAAGTCTTAAAGCCCATGCATCTCTAGGCTAAAGGCTTTGTTCGAACCTTTACCGCACACTTGAGATTTGAACCCAAGACCATTGAATTGTTAATCGAGAACCTTTGCCTTAATCAGTCACTCAGGCAGATTTATTTTTTTTTAATTTCAAGTCTCTTACTAGGAAATCTCTTAAATAATATTCGGATAACACCTAAGAACGCCGAACCTTAAATTAGTTAGTTGTAAGTATTTAAATTTAAAAGAAAAATAAAAAATTTTGTTAACCTTTTAAAAGCCTTCAATATTAAGCACGTAATACCTTGTGCATAAATTTTTTTCTTTATTAGTAAGAGTCTAGTACTTAGACTTATTACGCTTATTTGCCAAATTATGAAGTACACGGTTTTGATGTTTTTTTTTTTTTTTTTCCTTTTTACTTTATGGCGAGAGATTATTTTCTTTTCGTCAGTATCATTAACAGAAAATTTTGTATTTATTTTCAAAGAATATATTTATGCATATATTCATGAATATCTATTCATATATATATATATACGCATATGTATGTAATCAAAAACTAGCCCAAGAAAAATGGTAGAAAAGCAAAATAAATAATATTTTTATGTAGAGAGGTTGATGCGGACTCATATGAATGTTAGTGTCTTTGGCATATTTTTTACATAGCTTCTGGCACTATGCCATCTAATTTTTTTTTATACACTTTCAGTTTTGTCTATTGCTGTTTCCCTCTCGCGTCCTCTTAGCCATTCAAAAAAGTCTCATACGTTTTTGCAAGAATTTCACATATTAAGTTTTAGTTACAATGTTAGGCTTCAACGTAATACACACCATTACAAATCCACATACATAGACCGAAATTTGTGCGTTGATTTTGTTTGTGCAGTGTGTGGACGTGTGTTTTCCATGTTTATTTGCAGGCTCTGTTAAAGAAACAGTGAAAGCAAAAAGAAAAATAAGAAATAAAAAAAAAAATTGAAAAAAAATTTCCATAAAAAGATTGTTTGCGACTTTTTAACAGTCTTACCGAGGGTTTCGTTAGCCCTCATATTGTTTGCTCACTGAATTTGTGTATGCTTGGTTTTACTGAGGCCTCGAAGACAAATAGGCTTTAGTTTCAAAACTTACGCGTGTGCGTGTGCCGGCAAAATGACATGCGATTTGAATTCGAAATGTGTGTTCCCTGGCAGCTGTTTAATGTTTGCTGTTGACTTTTTTTTTTTTTTGATGTCTACAATTTGGAAAAAAACTTTAATAGTTGCTAAGCACGCAGGATTTGCAAATAGAAAAAAAAAAAAATTTCAATCTTTTGTATATTTTGCGTGCATTTCGGTGATTAAGTTCCATTTCACTGTTAAATATGACGGTGAGAGAAACAAACGAAAATCCAATTGACTTTATTCGAATACTATTCAAGTGTTGAGCATATGAAATAACTGCGCAGAAGAAATGGAGGAAGAAAACTCAAAGTCATCGGAAATTTAATAAACAAAAAAAAAACAAACACGGTATACGCAACGATTATTCGTCTATAAAATTAAGAAGTTAGCAATAGTTTCCGCTCCGAAATGACTTTTCTTGAAAGAAACCTGCATTGTAGTTGGTCCAAAAATATTAAAAATTCAGATCCAATACCATCGACATTTTTCGATATTTGAACAATTTTTGCCGAAAAATAATAATAAAAATTTGCAATTTTTTTTGTACCATAGGATCTTTTCAAAATAATGCGATATGATGATATATGAAAAGTGATAATAAAAAAATCTCAATGCAATCATATTTAGTGGGCATCGCTCTGAAGCGAAAAGATGTCTACACTTTGTAGATGTACGTACACCAAGTTTCAGTACAAAGTTTCGAAAATACCGACACCTGCGTTGAATGCCAAAATACATGAACAAACACAAGAAACATGTCCAGAATCGATTAGCTCATGATAATGATATGATAATGAAGTCGTCTGGTATAATAAAAAGTGACTGGATCCGAATGTTAATGGTCTTTTTTTTTTAAAAAAACTAAAAAACTGTCTATATCATTGCGCTTCCAACGTGTGCGCTATTAAAAACGACTACAAAGTTTCGTCAAAGTATTTCGAAACTTGGGTGATTTTTAAAATAATTATATCTCGATTAAAAACAAAGGTTAATATTGTTTGCAAAAATTTAAAAGGTCACAAGCATTGATGCAAAGTGCAACCTGTGGCATAAAATGTGCAAATTCGTTAATCGTTCTCTCAATATCCATAATTAAACAAGACAAACAGGCTTCATTTCGAAAACGATTAATTGAAAATTCACAAAAAAAAAAAAAAAAAAATAAATAAATAAATAAATAAATAAACAGATAAATAAAAAGAAAAAAAAATAAACTTGTAAAAACCCAATCTAAAGAGCAAAAAGCAGACATTTGTTTAAACCAATTAAAAATGTGAACAACACATCTTAATCTCTGACATCGTAACCAACAATATACACACACTTTTACCAAAAATTCCTACACCCATGCATACATCCATTTAA